CAACCCCTATGATTCTGTGATTTTTTAAGTCGCAAAGGCTCTCATCCCAGCCTCATTAGTGATTAAAGATTACATTATAAGGAAAAAATTCCTTTTGTTCACTTCAGAATAGTATGAACTCTTACTTAATAAAGATCTATGAAAATAGAGTAGAAAGAAAAAGTAGAGTAATACTGTAAGAAAAACCAGGAAGCTGTTAAACTCACCAACCAAATTCTAAAGGGAAATGAAAACTTGGTAATGTTTGAAAGTGAAAAGTGGTTAAACCAGAACAAAAAAAAAGTTACACAGTAGCAAATACTGTACGGTTTTTGCCTTCAACATGCTCTTAAAGTTTATATAAGCAAAAATACAATCCAGGACACAAACATACTAGAAACCAGTGAACTGGAAGGACTAGTCAAGAGGCCCAATTCACGTAATAGGAATTTTCTTCAGTCAGTACCTGGACTGTCTGGACCTGTGGAGACTGAATAACTGACGGCTGGGCAGCCTGAATTACTCCATGCACTTGAACTGTCTGCCCGTTGGGCAGCTGAACTAAGGTCACCGTGGGTGCAGAAGATGTTGCGTGAGCTGCTGGCATAGATACCTGCAAAGAAGAGACAGTGAGCATAAAATTAGGTTATTGCAAAATCTTATTTCACTACCAAGAACACATTTTGGTGAAAGAATTATGTCTCTTCTAGACCCTAGTTAGATGACCCAAATGTTTCAGCGTAACATAAAACCCCCTGAACTGCTTAAGCCCAACATCTGACCTACTTCACAAATTAATCTAATGCAGAATTTCTGCAGGCTCAAAACATCACTTGTAAAACCACTGACAAGAATGAGAAAAACACAACTGTCTTTATTTTGAGGTAACCTAATAAAAACACGTTATTACCTTTCTCTTACTTCAGTTAGATATTGCTAGGACTTGAGAGTACTCCTACAGACACTGCTGAGTCAAAGGCAGAAACATATGGGAGTGGAGCTATTCTTGTTCTCACTCAAGAAAAGGCAAAGTATTTGCCAGATGTAAGAAGTTAAAACTTTCAGGGAGCTGTACCTTTCAGACCTTCTAGAAACTAAACCATATTGAGTGATTGGCAAAGTCTATTTAAATAAAGAAAACTGACCATGTGTCAAGACATAAAACCCATGGGTTTGCAGTGGAAATAAATGTGATACTGTGTAATGGGTCAAAACAAACTGAGGAAAAATGGCCCACATTTTAAACCCTCAGGTCCTAAACACAACTTTCTCCAGCACAGACCTGCAGGCATAGTGGCTATGCCAAGAAGGACACGCTAATGACTTCAGCACACTACATCAGCACTGCACGCACAGCCAGGCGTGTCCTGCGCAGGGGCTCAGGCTGCCAGGACAGCGATGCCCACACAAAGCTGTCCTCATCAGGCAGGGAAGCGTCACTCTGGCAGGTCACAAGAACTATTATGGGTGGCTGAAGGGCCATGGACCAAAGTTGCGACGTGGCTGGGCAGCTGCCCCGGTGCACATCCAGTACTGAACACCTGCCTGGTGACATGATCCATGTGTTCATGGCTGGGGGGCTCCTGAAAGGCAGGGGTGCCAGGGCTGCTGTGCCAGGCCCTCGGTTTGCACCTGGCTTGCACCGTCGTAGCCCTCGGGGACAGACTGCAGGCAAGCTTGAGCTGCTCTGGCAGACCTCAGCCAGGTCACAGGTCACTGACGAACCAGCCTTCTCCTAAACACCCACGTTTGGAAAATTTAATAATCCTCCACTGTTCAATAGCATTTTCAAGAAAGTCCATCTATGTAGCTACAACATGAGAAGGGGCTGCACTGCTGTCCTACCTAATCTCAAAGAGCTGCTGTGTACCGAATGCAGAAGTAAATCCTCTGCTGCCCCATGAACACGTGGTTCTCAAAAAGCTGCAGTAGCTGATCTCTGAATTTCCATAAATATCTGCCACCTAAAGGAAATCTTGCTTAACAACAAAATTAAGAGGAATTACACGCAGACCTCTCTCCTCCACAGCTGTCTCTCCCTAATCCACAAATGTGTGTTTGCCTTTACCTGCCTTTTTTATGAAAACAGCTGCAGCATTATATGGCAGTATTTACATCTGAGAGAAACCGGGGACGACATTAACATGAGCACGCTTTCCTCTGGCAAATTATATTATTTTAGCAAGGGACCTTTTTAATAATGCATGTCTGACTAAACAGTCCTTGGCAAGGACAGCAAAGCTGATCAACTGGAGGCCATTCTGTGGCTGGATAAGCCAACAGCAGAGTCTAACTTCCGCAGCTGTCTCTGACTCATACCTTGTGCAACTGGAACGAGTTTCCTTTTGACTCTGAAAACTACCCTGAACTCAGTAAAAATACAGCAATTAAACTAAGCTACTAAGCTTGCAAGAGGGGTGACCTTACAAGAGATAATGAAAGAATTAAATTGACATAATTAGTTATTTAGATTTGCCTAGGACTCTGAGGGCACTCTATAATGCCAAACACTACCACTTCACATATTAAAAACACCATAATAACATAACATGGATGTGAACAGGCAAGGAATTGTGTTTAGACTGTTATATCACCTCCACAAGAATATAAAGCTGGGGGAAAAGCTAAAGTGCAAATAAAACAGTGAATGACAACAGAGGAAATTAAGAAAAATATAACATATTTCTTTGTGGTTCACATGGATTTTAACCACAGCTGTGTAGCTTTTTCTTACTTGGAAAAAAATGTCATTCAAGCACCGCAGAAATTTTGCCCAAGTAAAAAGTAAAAAACAGGATAAACCTACTACAGATCCGTAAGTACAGCTACCTGGAGGTTAGTGTGTTAGCACGTGAATTTAAAACATCCTTGCTTCTCCAAATCTTAATGTATACCAAGTAAGAAGCAGTTTACTGGTTTTACAGGAGAAATAAACTACTTCCACTCAGTTCACACTGAAGTGTTATTCACACCACCTACATCCTGTGTCTAAGTTAGACAGTGAGAAAACTGCCCAAAGAGGCAAGCTGGTGCAGGGCAGCTGGTGTCCTGTTAATTCACACTACAGTTGCACTGAACAAAATCACCCTAGGCATTTCAACAGCTCCAATCCCTATACTATCACTTGAATGGAAGTGTACTATTTCTGGTTTACCAAAAGGTGTAATGACTTTAAAATGAATCATTTATAAAATGATAAGTGATTTAACACTTTTGCCACTTAAAAGACACTCAATTCCCCAAACTATAAGTTCTAAAAAACCTGTTAATCTTTGCAGAGTGCAAATAGTTTTAAAATGAAATGGTTACAGAAGACAGCCAAACAGATTCTGTACTCATTTACACAATGGAGTTGCTTCTGCCAACCATCAGTATATCCAAGAGTGAAACCAGGTTCCAAAATTAGAGATGTAGCTGGGATAGCACTTCTTGTCTCTCCAAAATAATGTAGGGATAAAAAATGATCTACTACTGTCTCTCTAAACAGCCAGTAATTCTGTGAAATCCTGGAGACAACAGGGTAACACAAACTGTCAAATGCCAAGTTGTTCCACTTGATTATAATGTTTCTAATATTAATCCCATCTGATAAGATGTTGTATTTGCTGCATTATTTATCAGTATTTTCAGTTTGTTTTCTTCAGAATTCAGACTGCTATATACCCGTTTCTAACAAAAAAACATAACAGCAAAACAATCCAGTTAATATAAAAAAATACAGTAAATCACATGTTTTGGAAAAAAAAAATACCTTTCAGTGGTATGGCTGTAGTAAGGAATCCTAGAAATATTTTAATTCATTATTTTGTCAGCATTACACAGTTTACACACAGACAGTTCTTCAAAACTAACACAGCACAGTGTGATGGGAAGTTAAAAATCTCTACTGCTTTAAAAATTTGACGACAAGTATTAAAGCAACTACACACTGCATCTGTTCCAGAATCGTATCAATGGAACCTTCTCTCAGACCCACGAGCAGACATTATCCCTCTTAAAAAAATTACCCAATAGGTAAAACTATTACACCATATGATTTTATACCTGGGCTAACGTTGCAATCTGTGGTTGTGCCTGTACTGTCATCTGTTGGGTTTCTGCCTCTGTAACGGCTGCATCTCCACTCTGCTGGTTCTCTGCTCCAGATTCCATGGTCATTTAGTTACCTACAATCACAATATTTGTCATAAGTCTGGGTTGGTATGCAAGTCCATTATTCTTGGTGGATCTGGTAGCAATCACTGCAGCTGAATTCCCATTACTACATACTGTTTTCATTTGCTTATTAAAATGTTGCCAAACTATTAGCATTCAGGCAAATTTTTTTCATGCCAAGTATCTGCCTCAGGTTGATTTTTCTGTGTGTAATGTTTTGGGAAAACAGGTCCAGTCTCCTTGAATAACGAGATCAGAAAAAATGTGTTTTGCTCATCTTCAAAAAATTACTTGAGCAATTGCACTATGATGATCTAGTACCTCTGCAATCTGGAGTAACGACAGTTTGTCAGGAAGGGCACTCCCCTGGTGACAAGGTGACAATAAGCTCTGCTCCAGCCCTTCCTCTCCCCCACAACTGCAGTTTGCAGATAACCAATAGCAACTGCTTCTGTGTTGGGCACTTAGTTTTCAGTCCTCTGGCTGAACTAAACTTGCAACATCTCCATGCAAATTCTTTCCACAATCAAACTGTGTATGGCCCTATGTCAAAGTAACTTAGTCTTTTCTACTTGGTAGTTTTAAAGTCAGTATACACAATGATGGAAGCCATTTCTGCATGAACCTTACTGCAAATCAGTATTTTTATATTGAGAGGTACATAGTAGTTTGTCATGACCTAAGTTTTACATCATATATAGCTCCCAATACTTATATTTCTAAGCAATAACTGAGCAAACCTAGATCACCAGAACACACAACTCCATAAAAAAGGTTGCATAACTTCCAAAACCATGCATGTAGGCAGAGTGCAATGGACGTTAAATTCTACACTGATTTGTGAAAACTATTTTTCAGTACTTCTTTAAATACTGATAGGAAAATATTTAATATATTAAAAAGAGCTTAAAAATACAAGGAAATTATCCCAATGGTGATACAGCAATACCACTGTATTATACAGAACTCCAAATACTAAAAATGGATACTACACCCACAATACCAATAGTGTGTACCACCCTGGACCACCCAATCTCCTCAGGCCTCTGCCTACCCTAAGGCAGCACACATCTCTTCAGAGCTGCAGCAAAACAATCAGTAGAGCATTTCTGCTTTGGGAAAGGGCCTGGAGGCAGAGGATGCTCAGATCAGAAGGAAGATGGAAAGAAGGAGAAATGCCCCTCTCTTTGCTCAACTTTACTGGACTCCTCAAGGAAAAGACTTAGAAAAGTCAATACTGGTGGTGGTATCATGGCCACATTCAAGATATTTCATTTTAAGGAGGAAATTTCAATTTCAATGCAAACTATACTTCAGTATTTCAGAAAAGAGAATACTCTTCAGAGATGTGTTGCCTAAAGCAGTAGAGTCACACTTCAACCCTGAGTATAGTATGAAATTTTTATCTGACAGCAAACGATTGCTAATCAACAAAGATAAAACAGCATTTCAAAGTAGCAGCTGCATCTCACATCAAAAGAAAGCAAGTCAATGCATACAAAAAAAAATCTGTATATTTAGTATTGAAAGTGACTGTTTAAATGAGCTTTGTGCTTATGTGTGTGAACACTGAAATGTTTCAGTACCAAATGTTTAGTTCCAACATCAGTTTAGAAACTCTTAGGAAATGAAAAGAAGGAAAATAATTAAAACTGAGTTTCCTAAAAAACAAACAATGAAAGAAAACTTACAAATTTTTGGAAAAAGAAAATTAAAATTATTCTAAGCACCTGGAATTTTGTTCTGCCTCTCCCTGTTGCCATGATTTTTGTCCCACATAAACCAGATATTAGTCTTCCAAATGCTCACAGAAAAACAACACTTTACCTATAGGTATAAAATGGTAAACTGATCACAAAAGAAATTAATTGTAAACTCACTGCATTTTAAGTATTCTAGACGTCATGATTTTTGTAAGAATTTTGAGAATAGCCTGTGTCCATCCAAGTAAGATAATTACATTCTTTCCTACAGTACCAAGTCTTCTCCATGTTGCATTTCATCTTCCAGAAAGCACAAAAGAAAACCCATGCACTGTTACTATTTGTACTATACAAGACTTCATAAATTATAACAGTTTAAGTGGTTTTCTATCCCAACTTTAAGACACAAGTTATATTTTAACAGCCTCAGTCCTCCATGTTATATACCCACATTTTTCTTTTTTTTTGTATTCTGCATTTTCAAAACTGCCAACTACAAACCAGCCTACCATAGTTTTCCGTTTGATTTTAATAATTTTTAAGGAGGTATCTAGTTTTATTACTTTTTTGCAAGTATCAGACTGTCCAAGGTAAGCAAATCAACAACTTTCTCCAAATTCCTATGCATGTATCATGGTGACTCCAGCCAAAAGACTACTTCAGCGGAACCATTTCAGGAGCAGATTTTTTGCATCAGTAACATCTCCCAGCCAAGTATCTGAAAGTAACTTTAAAAAACAATTTCCCAGCTACAAATTCAAGTATGTTGCAAAACTAATAATGCTTTTGTTTGCTGATAGAAAATGTGACTCCAGTACGGAGCCAACTGCTACACAAATGGGATCAGAAAGAGATGAAATATGCAAGTGAGGGGTCTCTTGAATCAGGTATTTAGCAAGATTCACAAAGGTACATGTTGCTTTTTGCTGATAAATGCAATGTTTTCCTAGGAAGAATTTCCAATCGTCTCACACACCATTCAGCAAAAAAACCCCACTCTGGTTTTATAAGCTTGGTTTCTACACTTGCATCATCTTTTGCATATGCATTCAGCAAAAGCTTAACTGTTTGAGGTGCTCCCTCCTCTACAACACCAACATTTTGGAAAACAAACTCTTAACATGACTTGCCAACACCAAAAAGGAACCTCCCTGTAACATACAGTAAGCACCAGAAATGCAGGAAGCTGCCTGCAAGATTTACATCTTGACACATACAGTTTAAGCAAGTTTCTAATGTGACTGGTAGTTTTTGGACAAGCTCTTAGTCTCATGTTATTTGCATGTTCTAAGTATTCTTGAATTTGGTCCAATTTATCTTGCACTTATACATCACAGCATTTGTATTTTAACATCTTCACTCCAACCTTTTACAGTAACTTGTGAGAAAAAGGAATCAGATTTTTGAGCATCACAACATCATATTCCAGATACACTGATTACTACATTGTTTCACTTTTGCTTTAATAGTATAACAGGATTAAGATTGCCAAGATATACAAGACCAGGCACCTAGAACATATATACATACTAAGTAGTGTGTATGTAAGACCAAGATGGCTGAAATTAGTGTTGTCAATTCCTATGAGTTCTTGCAATTTACAATGTAACAGATGAAATGATGTTTGATTTGACCTTAACCTCCCCTCACACACAAATGAATGCCAATACTTACACCTCCTTTCTAAACTCTCATGTATCCCCAGCCTAGACAAGCTTTGCTGACCACTAACGCAGTGTCCCTCTGTTCTTGTGGGTGGTCAGGTCCACCCCATCCTTCTGCTCCTGCCCCATTCACAGCAGCCCACCCCGCTCCCTGGCACTGATTTCCCTGGCAGCCACCACGCTGGGACTTCTCAAATGGAGGTGGAGATCTGAAAGTGCCCTGGTGGGGGAGAAGTGTCTGGGGCAGGGAGAGAATATGGGAGCAAAAGGAGCACATTTTCTTTTCATCCCTCCGCTTCCAGGCTACTTTCCATCTTGTCAGGAGAGGACATACACACTCATTTTGAGAAAAAATCTGTAATTGCTGTAGTTCATCTTGAACTAAGTACTCTAAATGAAACTAACTGAAAAAAACAGGTAGCTGTTAACAATCAAAGTTGGAAAAACAGTCTGCTTGCCTAAAACACCCTGGTTATGAACTCTGAACACAGATTAAGAAAGCTGATGAGATTACCTGGTTAGAGACAGTTTAAGTAGTGACTTTTATGTAACACACAATTTTCTTTATTAATTCAAAAGAGCTAGTATTATACTTACTAATACTTTCTTAATAACATACTAATGATGTGAAACTCCCGAGGTGAAGAGTCAAACAGCGAAATGTTCAGCTGATACCCAGTAATTTGTTTTAGCCAAATGAAGACTGGGAAAAAGAAGTTCAGCAGAAGATAACTAGCTGTACTAGCTGAATTTACACCAGGACAGGAGAGGACAGATGCTAATAAACATGAACAGTTGAAGAAGGCAGGGGAAACAGAAAAATCCCAAATAAACCTGGGAAAGGGGCCCATGCACTACCGCAGATAGTGCACTTCAGATTTCTGCTCAACATGTTTATGACATGAAAAGCTGAAGTGTTAAGACTGCAACAGTAATCAAATACAGGGTAATCTTTAAAAATTATATTTGTATAGATGGACCCTATACATCAGATGGATTACAGTGCAGAAATTGGGAGCCCATCTTAAAAATGGGTTCAGAGAAAGCAAGCATTTGGGGCAATGAAAACTATTGTATGAAGAGACTGGATAGAATTGTATTATTTACCCCAGAAAGGAGAGAAATGCTTCAAACACACAAAAATATATTTAAATTAGTAACAGGGTAAGTAAACTAGAAACAGTCACTAATTATAAAAGCAAAGCTAAAAGGTGGCAAATTTAGAAGTATAAAAATTAAAATTTTAAAATACCTATTAAAAATATGAAAATTTATACTTCAGGTACTGCACAAATAGAGCACCTATGCTGCTGACAATAAGCAATTTATCAGGATTCAAACAGGAGTTGGACACTCACAGAGATTACAAGAATACTCAGGAACATCCAGAATTAGTGTGTTTATTTCCTACCAAAAGTAATGCAGAACTGAAAGGCAGATAAAACCTCGTAAGTCAAGATTTAAATCAAGCTCTAATCCCTAAAAATTCAAATAAAGATTTTCATCAGGGTGGAAGATTATGCCACATGTAATTCTTGCAGGTTCCAGTAGTCTTTTGAGGTACCTACTGATCTTCAGTATCTTAAAGACAGGATGCTGAACTAGGTGTGCTACAGATAATGGTAACTCCTGTAAT